CATTCATATAAAGTGGAATCTCGTTAACTCGATTCTGTCCGTATAGATAGATTATCTAGGGCTTTTTTTTTGCCATTTGATGTGCCATAAAAAGAAGGCGCTTTCATGCAGGTTAATTTATTGGCTGTTTTCTGTGAATTTTGAAAATGCGACTGATGAAGAGGTTTTTGAACATATTTTTAAAAGTCATAGCTTTTTGTTTGAATAACGCGCTATATGACGGTAATGACAGCTTCTTTAACTTCCAAGCAGCTCTTTCAAGGACATGGAAATTAAATAATTTGAGCTCAAAATAAAGAGTCATTTGAGCGTTGCTAATAAAAGTACGCTAGGTGTGGTTCATAAAACGTTGAGTGAAGCTGCTTCACATCATATGCGTATATTCGAGCTTTTTCTAGCTTGCGTCAGATACTACGAATTCTGACGGACATGAATCTACTTTCCGGTTTTCTTGTAGATTCAATCTACGAGATTCCACTCCACTGGCAACCTTGGTGCCATTTAGGCCTAATTTCTTTCTTTAACCGTCTTCTCGCAACGTGCTAACTGGAAAGCAACTTTCGTCCCTGGTGACGTCATATCCGGAAGCATGGGCTAAGTAAGACGGGAAAGGTACAGACGGGAAAGGTACAGACAAAAACGAAAAAGTAACGTCACCACACACGGAATATACACACGCACACGAAACACCAGAGGGATTCTGGCGTCGCCATTTTTCTGCGTTGTCATGACGACGCCATCTCCGTCCCCTCCTGATTGGGCGAGAAGTGATTGTCCGTGACAGTAGCGTAGCGATGCGGCGAGGCCAGCAATACAGAGAGGGATTAGTAGTGAACATTATGAGAGGACTAAACAACACGTGTTAATACGAAGATTATAATAGTGAGAGTGCGTAGCATGGCGTATTAATCAATAAAATCGATAACTTGTCTGGTACAAACTGGAATTCAGCTGACAAGTGTGAGATTTTTTAAAGTTTATTTGGTGTCAAGAGCAAGACTTGCACTCCACAGATCTTACTGAGCCATAGCATTGGAGCTCTTTTTTCCAGATTCTACGAGCATATTGATCCGTAACCGAACTTCTTAAGTAGGGTTAGTGGTAATTCTTGGTTCCCTTCTATCTTGGCCATGAGCAACGTTAAGCTTACAATTGTCAGTGTAACGTGACTGGTAATGAAATTCAATGGTTTTCTTGTGTCTGAAGACAAAGCCAGCTAGCACAGCATGTTTTAAGCCTTTGTTCTGTTCAGCTCATTTCACACCACACTTTCTTGTCCTACACAGCAGTTATTTCACACTGAAAATAAAAATAAATATTTATGGTATATCATGTGATACGCTTCATAAAATCAGCCTCACATTTCGCTTTTCCAGCTCAATGCACACTGGATATTCGGACTCACAGTTTAATGGGAACACGCATCTTGTCTACCAACTTGTACACTGGGTAAATTCTACAAACAGCTACCGAACCTGACCATAATGCGATCAATAAATTCACTACTGAGCTGTACATAATTGTGGTTATTATACTTGCTTGAATCAGAGTGGTTGACACCAGCGCAGCAAAAAATATAGAATTATGAATTATCCTTGATATGCAATAAGGGCGCACGCAGTAAGATCTCTTCTCAATTTACTTAGGGGCTACAGTTTGAAGCAAACAGCTGATCTGCTGCTAAATTTTGTTTTCATGCTTACTGCTATTGATTGACAACGTATAGCTCTGATTTGTCAGTGCAGTAAGATTGTTTTTTGCGAAATTCACAATGAGATAAAGGATAGTTTCTTAACGGACACAACGTTTTTGTATTGTTCAACGCTTTTATATGTGATTCTTCAAAAATAATAACATTATTTCTGAAAGACTATCTGTGTATATTGAAAGTCTGGTGGGTTGATTGTCCTTCATTTTGGGGAGAAAAATATTGAAAAAAAAATGTGGTTAGATAGACCACGTCACGAGAAATTGCAACACTGGGGGATTCACCGATAACATGACCAATTAGAAACCATTGTTGTACTACTTTTCAACATAAGAGGCTCCAAATGGCTATGTCTTGTGAAAATAAAAAAGAAAACACGAACTTCCATGCCTCCGGATACAACGTCATGTCACTTAAATATAATTTCTTGCTTATTTGACAATTTCGTCACAAAATACAATGAAGTAATCAGCATTCTATGCAAAACAGCAACAATCCTTAAGTGAAAATATATGCCTTTGTGCATGAACTACAGAAAACAGCAAAACGGAGAAAAAATGTTGATAGAAGATAGTACAAGTAAAATTATAACGAATGTTTTTGTTTATTTCGGTATCGTCACTACGTATTTGAAGAATCAATACTACGCAATCTCGTGAGAGCACAGTCAACCATATAAGAAAGAATATTTAGGAAAATATGCGTCGATGGAATAGTTCAACACACCTTTCTTTTCGTTATCACCCGATGCTTGATAAGCTTCTTAATTCTCTAAACATGAACAACTGCTGATATATAGCTTCTGATAGAACTGTAATCGCACCATAAACATTATCACAAAGCAGCAGAATGCAAAGTTTCGTTGAATACCACTCACAAGTGCTTCCGTCAATAATTGTACAAAAATATACAGACTCGGCGTGATGTGAGAAACATGGACCATTTAATAAGGTTTTCTCAGCCCATCATTAATACAAGCTTTCATTGGGCCGCATAATATTAATCAAGCAGTGATCTCCACGCACGCCAAATTTAGCATTTTACCAGCGGAATTTATTCGACTAGATATTCGCTAGATGCATTCCAAGCTACACATACCTAAATATTACTTATTGTCTTGTCAATCAATATACCTGTAAAGTATTTCATTGTGTTTTCGCTTATACTTCAGCTTAAAAAGCGATTTCTTGGCCGCTATCAGCAGAGCAGCCAAAGATATTAGAAGACTTACACGCCGAAGAAAAAGTTCGTTCTTCAATTCCCAGAGTATGAAATTAAGCTTTAGTAACGCAATAATTGTTTTGACCCTCATCTTCAGATTTGAGTTGTGCGTGCCGTAATGGCGTTTCAAGCGGGACCGCCTTCCGCAAACTTCAGCAAATATTGCTGCGTTTGGTATCAAAACAGAGTGTGTAGATTTATAAAGTGTCCAAGAATAGGTGAATGAAGTGCTCACAAATAAGCACCGCTTACACGTCGAGGAAGCCTGTTTACTCAAGACTTCCATCTTTCTACGTGGTTTTACAAACGTTGCTGATCAAGCATTAGAATGTTTGGACAAGGCCTGTTATAGAGCTGACTTGCCGACGAAAGTGTACGCCGGTGTATTGTTGTTTATGGCACAGCATTCACTATTAGATAAGATAGCCATTAACATTTCGCCAGTGAAAGCAGGCGAATTAAACAGTGTAGCAATGAAGAATTCTTGCACGCTCACATAAAAGTTATGAAACGCAAAAAGGGCGATGTTATTTCCTAACCGCCGAAACTGCGGAATAGCCATCATACTATTTCTCTCGACAAGCGTGTTGCGGCAAAATTTTTTTTAATACTTCGCAAACCTACATTGAAACAAGCGCGATACACATAGTGTTGATGGCAAAATATTCACAACACTCACCGTTAGCTTGCTTGTAGGTAATCAATGTCTGTTACTTGCAGATATACCATTCTTTGGGCTGTGAGTCAACAGACACAACAAATAGTTTTATGCGAGGACAGTTTACTTTCTCGTAATATTTATCTATGGACATTCGTTTTCTACACGTTTCCTTTTGTTTTTTTTACGACAGTATCACTACAATACTAAAGTAGCAGATAATAAAAAATCCCATTGTCGACACGCATACAATGGTCCAGATTTCTCGAAAAAGAAGCATTCCGATAACAAAATTGTGTTCTGACAGTCGATAGCATTGTAAACACATTTTCATACTGCGCACTCATTTCAAGGTTTCCTTAACATCGCCTCTTCACCAAAAAAGTTGAAGACAAGCGAGCTCCTGAAAAGCAAAATAGCATGCATATTCGAAAGCACAGCTTGTTGTCCAGCTGCAACCAGCAATTTTTTTCTGTTATGAGGCAATTGCAAATTGTCCCGTGTTATGGTATAAGAGAGCTTTCAGCAGAATTTTCGCTTGAAATGATAGGTTTGTTCAGCTCATCAACATCTCACAACATATTTTCACTACATTAAAATGATCGCCTTTCCTTCCGGTTCCTGGTTTGGCTGACTCATACCGTACCAAACAAATAGAAGAAAGCATGCCACGCACTCATCTCAGCAAGTGAATGTCACTGTTGATTAGGCCATCATCTGCAACAGCTATGCAAAAGAGAGAGCACTCAAAAAGCGGACGCACCTACATTCTCATCCCAAGTGGCATGGGGAACATTTCCAGATTATTCCGCCTTTTCTCCATGTCGTGCGTACATTATCGCTCCACAACCAACTCAAGTTCGTAATGTGTATAGTCTTTCCCGTCCTACGCTACCACTAGAGATACGAACATCAAAACACCTTTTCTTCACATAAATAATCTTTATAGCCATTTTTTAGTTACATCGGGAACGACATACAAATAGCCGGTCACAACCTGAGCAAAAAAAAAAAAAACATGTTTGCTCCGCTCATATTCAAGCCTTTCTTGTGCGAAGAATATTTTCACCCGTGATTTATCCAATCACTTCTACTCTGTTTGCGACGTTGCAATAGCTAGTTTTTGCAATAGCAATTTTTCTTGTTTTGTTTCAGCATCACCCCGAGGAAAGTTTGTGTAGCAAAACTTTATTCTAGAAATTGGACGTCTATGCCTAAGTGTATCGAATTTTAGAATGAAACAACGTTCTTTTATTTTTCGATGTGTTTGGTATTTACATTTGGCGAGACAAAACTGTCTCTCGGAACAGGCATCTGTTGTCACTATTCTTTTGCAAAACACAAGGCTAGTCTCGCCAATTTTCTCTGCGGTAGGAGCCAAGTTGATTTGCTAGGTCGTAACCGGCTATTCATAGAAAAACTGCCTGCTGTGCAGATATCCCTGTTGATGGTACTGTCGTGGCATTGCGGAGACGTTAACGTAATAGACTTACGAGCAAACGAAACTCAAATCTTATGAAAGGTTGGCGTAATGGCGAAGGGTAGAGGAGAATGAAGAAGGGGAAGGCCTCAAAATTTGCCGCACTTGGTAACGAACGGGTGAGGCAATATGGACGAGGGATCTTGGGAGGTTGGAATTCTGTGTTCAGTCGAGCGGTGTTCTTTAATCCATGAATCCCGTGGCAACGAGTTTGTCGAGGAAAAACTTGACGTCCGCCAGCTCGGAGTCCCGGATGCCGAGAGAACGCAGCAGGCTGATGTCCCCACTCTCGACGGCCATGAAGACGCTGCGAAGGTGCTCCAGGTCGGAACGCATCAGGTGTAAAGCTTTGCCGAAGTCTTCAAGCGTCTCACCCTCTGCGAATGCGTTCACAAAGACACACACAAAAAAGGAATTGAGCCTGTCTCCTTTAACTTTCTTCGCTTGTCACTTAGACCCTGCCAAGACACATTCATCTCTTTCAATTTTGCACCAATACGTCATTGGTGCGTGTTCATTGCATGACGCACGCTGGATAGCTATTCTAGAAATGTTCATTTCGGAAATGTACAAAGGGTATAGTTGCGCAAACAAGACAGAGGCCAAAAGAAAACATCATGACGCACTTACCGCAAACTACCAACAATGTTGTTGTAATTCCTCCCTTTATTGCCTGCATTGCTTGCGCAATTGAATACTTTCAATCATAAACCCACATTGCCAATCGTCAGCTATTTTGATGCCTTTTTAGTGGACTGTTCGTTTTGGCTGCTGCTGATTGCTCGAAGCTATAGCCCAGTAGCATGATCCCTGATGCCGGTTCTTCTTCCGAATCGTCACTTTGACTTCACGGAGCATTTACAAGTTTTGCCTCAATCAGAAAAAAAAACGGAGTGTTCATCGTGGTCAACGCTGTTTTTAAGATACCCTTTCGGCCACGCAAATATCGCCGGCCTTGCATTAAATCTGACTTTGCGACCACCTTAGTCCTCGAATGAGGTTTGTGTGGCCTCCCATTTGAAGCCCTGGTGAAAGTCGATACGCATTCCCGAAGTCCGTTCGCAAGCATCTAGAACCGGCTCATATGCAAGGATCGACTTATAAAAGCTTGCGTATGCTCTCTTTGACTGTGCAGTTTGCCCTCTCCTGTCGTTTGAAACTGTAAGCGTGCTGTTCAGATTCAGTGCAGCGACGTGGTCTACAGTGCGATGACGTTATGGGTCCCCGGTTTCTCAATCAAGTATATGTGCTCTGTCGAAACGAACATGCCCACTAAACGGTTCCGCGAGAATTGCTCCAGTGATCTCCATCTTCACCCCCTCTTTTTTATTCAACTCGGTCAAAGATATTTCGGAGCCTGTGAACGGCTCCGGGTAATCATATTCCCATACATGGTAATGTGTACCCTCTCAGTTAGCGTTACACTTATACATTTTTTCTTGCTTAACACAAAGTTCTGTTGAGCACGCCTAACGAAACTCCTAATATCCACCTGACGAACATCAATTGCAACGAAGAACCGCTAAAGATTAATTACACACACCATCTCCACAAAAAATGCAATGGGCACTCTGAAGCTTGCCACACCGCTCTTCGAAGAAATGGTGATGTCTATTCGTTATGTGCTAAAAATAATATATATTTTATGGGTGAAGTTCTTTAAGGCACGGGTCGTGCGTCTTCTGTAAGTAGTAGCCGCCTCTCGTTTTAGTCCTTGTAATGTCCGCTGGATGGCGGTACTTGTATATGGTGAATATACGATGAAATATGGGAGCTGGACGTACATGGAGTGTTCACTAGAAGGACGGACGGATGGATGGACAGAAATACAGACATACAGACTGCCTAGCTGCAGTGGTCTGGTGGCTGAGGTAGTCGGCTAAGGTACTTGGTTGGTGACCAGCAGGTCGTGGGATTTAATCCCGGCTGCTACCTTAAACAGACGGATGGACGGACGGACGGACGGACGGACGGATGGACGGATAGACAGGCAGACAGACGGACGGACGGACAGGTGGACGTGGCCAGCGGTCGAATCACAGTTTTCGCGTAAGACCCTGCGAAGCTTCACACCACTCATCATCAGCCACTCCGTAAACATGCTGCGATTTTTTAGGGGCGAAGCTCCTTATGGCGTGGCTTGTGCGTCCCTCGTAGTACGTAACCACCAGTGGCACATACCCGAAATAGCGGTCCTTACGATTTTGACCTCCAAGGCGGTTGCGGTGAGAGATTTCTTCTGTGTGTTGTTGAACAATAAAAGGTAGTGCTCACTGCACATGTTAATGGCTGCTAAGGGGGAATGAGAGACAGGAGCATTCGGCCTTTAGGTAACGCGCACGCTGTGATCCCCATTAGCAGCTATTGGCATGTACATTGAGCACGATCTGAGAAGAAAGGGTTGCTACGTTATACTCGCTGGGTGTAACCTCCTTGGTTTTAGAAAGGTTTAGCGAGCGTTGGGCCGCATAGCCATGAATACAGTGAACTAGTATATACCATGAACTCGAGGTGGTTAAGGGTGGGAAGTAAACCCGAAGCGCAAGCCGTAAGAAAGTGTGCATGTGCCACCTCCCGTTTAGTCTTTGAAATGCCCGCTGGATGGCGGTGCTTCTATATGGAGAATATATGATGAAAAGATGCGAGATGGTGGTACTTGGAGTGCTGAATAGATGGACGAACGGACACACAGACAGATGCATGGATGGACGCATGAACGGACGCAGGCGCGGATGCATGGACGAACGCAGGGACGGACGCACGAACAGACGCACGCACGGACGGGTGGATGGACGCATGGACGGTTACACAGACGTACGCAGGAACGGACGGAAGCAAGAACGAATGGACGAATGAATGCTTCGCCCCACTCCCCATCATTCACTCCGTGGATATGCTGCCATTTTTTTTCTGACTTCGTGCTTTGCATGCCTCAAGCTCAGCCCTTTCGAGCATGCACCCAGCGCCGGGCCGATGACACCACGGCAAAAGAGGGTCATCGCTTGTTTTTCTGGCAATTAACGGGGCATCAAAGGAAGGCTTCCTAATTAGGAACAAGCAACAAAGGTTATAAAAGAGAAAAAAAGAATGACAAGCTTCTTATCTAGTGAAAATATGTCAGGTGGCGTCCCTGTGATGCCCGCACGTGCCTAATCATAAATATGCCAAGCTCAGCGACTAGTGCCGGAATTAAGATTAACGAGATTTCGGTTGCCGGGGTCCCGCCTAGCTCAAACGAGACCGTTCAGGTTTTTTCGTTTTATACATTTTGTTATAATATCGAGATGTCGGACCAGCCGATGCTGTTTAGTGCGCTTTCAAAAAAGCTCATTCATCGGTGTTTCCTCTCGTTCTCTTTTATTTGTTTCTTTTTTTGTAGTCCACCATCGGTAAATTAAGGGCAATGGTGATCGACTGCTTAACGGAAGATCACCTGCTCGATCCCGGTGGCAGCAGTGGAATTTCGGTGAAGGAGAAATAGTTGAAGATCTATTCTGAAGGAGGTCACAAGCTTAAGAGCACCAGATGGTAAAAACTTATGGCGCCCTCCATGATGTCATCTCTAGTAAGCATATCCTGGTTTCCGGAAGTACAAATTCAGATATTATTTCTTCGTTTTGTTCATATCCTCCTTTACACGCATGTCGCGGTAGCTTAGTGAGTAGGTTCGTTGGTTCAAGTACGCAGCAATTTAACTAATCTGACTCGTATCCACTATGATCGAAGGCGCAGCTTTTGTTACCTGTCATTGTGGCCGCACGTAGTTGATGGTGAAAATAAGGCAAACCCCTGCAATTACACATAACTTCATGTTAAGAAACCTCAACTGGTCGAGATTAGTTCGAAGTGACCACTGCGACATTCCTGATAATCACGTCTTGGTTTTTGCAAGCAAAAACATCGAAAAAAATCAACGCCTAAGCTCTCTTTACAAATGGTTAACCAGCTAAAGCGGAAGCGTAAGGCCCCTGTGCTTATCAGTGGGTTACCGTTTCACCCGACATGGCACTGAAGCATTTCAGAATTATTCGTTACACGTTTGTGGTTCTAATGACGTTAGACACACGTTTGGCTTGGGCTCATTCCAAAGAGCCATGGAGTGTTGGCGAGCAAGCATCCGGAGCCTCCTAGCAGCGTCCGCCCTTGAGAGAGGTATTGACTGGTCGCTGTCTTCTGTATGGGCTGAATGGGCAGCTTGATCAGCTCGTTCGTTGCCGATAATTCCACAGTGCCTCTCTTTACGCATGCGAGATTACGACCCCTTGATCCAACGTTAAGCATGCAGCTTCCAACAAAAATTCGACGAGGCGACGCTACTGCTCTGTGCAGACTATGGTTGGGAGTCGCGTTTACCCGTGCGTACGCGTTCCGCATAAGTATGGCCGACACCGCCGACTGTGCACACTGCGGAGATGAAGAAACAATTCGACATATCCTTAGTGACTGCCCAAAATACAACCTAGAAAGACAACACCTTTTTAATAAACTAAACAGGTTAGATGACCAGCCACTGTCAGAAGAAAGTATACTGCGCCATCGTCATGACTCATCGTCACAGAAGAAAGCCGTGCAAGCGCTACTGGGCTTCTTACGAACTACTGGCCTGTCGGAACGCCTCTGAGTGGACTGATTTTGTGTGTGCGTGTGCTTCGGGGTTTTTCTCTTGTTTATTTTTTAACTCTCCCTTTCTCTTTTAACCCCCTATTCCCCAACCCCAGTGTAGGGTAGCATACCGGATACTAGCATCTGGTTAACGTCCCTGCCTTCCTTTTTTTCTCGTTTCTCTCTTTTTCTCTTGGCTTGGGCTTACCACAGTGGTTATTTCACATTCCCCACATTGTGCTTCGCACAGTCACGGTCATGGAGGAATGTAATGAGTGGTTAAGCGCATTTTGCAACTGCCTTAAACACAGAGCTTGTTCTGGAACTACAGGCGGCCACAGACATCGGATCCCAAGGCAATGTGCTGCTGGAGAAATTTCTGGCGAAAGTGGCGTTCGCATTGGCGAACGCGCTCCCACAATCATAACATTGACGCCGCAACGGTGCGTTGATGCAAGCGTCCTGACATCACGAGTCAATTAGACGGGGAAGTCTCACCATACGCTGTTGTGCGCATGCTCAGCACCAGGGCTGGGATGACGTCATTCGCAATGAAGCCAATAGCGCGCATGCACGGGACCAATGTAACTGATAAGATAACCGATTGAGACCGCTCATGCCACCGCTGCCAAAGGGATTTTCGTTTCTCGTTGTCATATACAGATTTCGCATGTAGTTATCTCGGAAGAAGCCTGGCGAGCTCATAGGTGCACTATCCTCATAATGTCGCAACAGGCACTGGCGTTGCCGGTGCCTGACACTCGACAAATTATTGGCAACTGGCATATTACGTCCCTATAATCTATGGGGAGGCTATGAGGTACACTGTGGTGCAGGGTTACGGAAGTCTCGGTCATCTGGTGTTCTTTAATCTGCAATGAAATCGCACGGTGTACGGGCCTCTACCTTTTGACCTCCACTGAAATGCAGCCGCCGAAGCCGCTATCCAACCCACGACGTTGGGGTCAGCAGCCGAGTGCCGGAACCACTTGGTATAGAAGGTCGCATTTCAGAAGTGACAGTGAACAGGATTACAGCATTATTATTATTATTATTATTATTATTATTATTATTATTATTATTATTATTATTATTATTATTATTATTATTAGGAGCAGTAGTAGTAGCAGTAGTTGTTTTTGTTGTTGTTGTTTTATTATTTTACTGACGCTTATTTAGCGGAGGTATTGTATAACAAGCTGAGGACCCATGATGATCTTCTTAATGTCGCTGGTTTGAAACCGACAAGGAAAAAAAACGAGACCGTTCACTTACCGGACAGGGCAACGGCTACTTTTTGCACGCCTCCTAGTGGTGCCAGCGCGTCTCGTGCCTTGGGTCCGAACAGTTTTTCCAGGTAGTTGGGCCCGTGGTTGCTCAGCAATGTGTGCAAGAAGTTCGCAGTCTCTTCCACTGGGGGCCGCTTCGCTGCGCGTAAAAAATTGAAAAAAAAAATGCAATCACTACGTTTACAACTTTCACCCTATCCGTGCTTTCCACTCTTTTAGTATTCGCGAAATAACTGTATTGTCATTTTAGTTTTGCTCAGACGAATGTCTACGGATACAGTCGGCCAAAGTTTTAGCCATCGTGCATGAGTGGCAGTTTTTTTGTGTGTGTGTATCTTTGCCATACAACTGAATTAGGTTTCAATTGAATAAAGGACTAGCGTATGCCCATAAAGTGCATGTCGATGAAGCAATTTTTTCTAACTTCATTCGATAATATGGTGCTGACAGATAAAAAAGTCGCTGCTGCACACTATGCTGACTGTGCCTCATCGATCGCAAAAAAATTGTCTCTCAGCGCTTTGAAGGTTTGGCGAGATCTAACGGCACTTCGCGAGACCGGTGTCGGAGACAACGCGTCATGGCTTCATCATGGAGTTTTTTGAAATTACCTAGAGGGAACTCTGGCGCAGCGATTGTTCAGTCCCCATGAGAATGATGGTTAGTACAAGAATTTGCCTATTCTTTGTGATTTCGGGCTTCAAACGCACTTGTAGCTTTGTTTATTGATGTATTTTGGTTATATTTGGAATGAAAGAACGGCTCGTTGTGAACTAGATTTGACTTGGTGAGTCTAAAAGTCAAGATGGGAAAACGTAGCTGCTAAAGCTTTTCAGAAATTCGTTGTGCGGAAAACCTTACTCAGGCTCACGGAGCTAAACGATGCCAAAACAACGAATAATAGACAAATTGATCTATTACCCACCATTCCCATACTGGCTGCAGAGAGTCGCGTGTTGCAGCTCCCGTAGATGCTAACTTCAATGTTCACTCTAGTGCATTTATATGAAACTTGATGGGTTTGATGACGCCACCCTATGACGACTTCTTATTGTCACCGAACGCCAAATTATGTGATGGCATATTATGACGTAATCACATGACGTCAATCCTTAGTCATAGGTGGACCATTGTGAAGGCACTTGAGGTGTTGAAAACTTTCGAAAGACTAATGCAACTGGCTCAGAAACACGATTATTTTGCCTGCGACTGATTTTAGGCGAATGTATAAAAGATAACGTGGTTTTTTTTAAACCCGGAACTGTTTCACGCCTGATTCCACCAAATATCTATTGTCACTTCCGTAACGGTAATGATGGCGTCATTATGGCGTCAGTGCGAGAGCACCTCAGTCTTCTGCATCCATGTAAGACGTCTCCTAAGTTGTTCCTGTTTTTTTTTTTTTACAGGTAACTTTGCGCACTCTTGCTTTGAACTCAGTAATTTTGATGTTCATTACTGGTTTCCTGTTTTACTTCAGGCTTCTCGTTGCAATGTTGCTATAAAGCAAATTCTTGTAGTTAAAAGGAAGTTCCACAAACATGTCTCAATTTTTCAGCTGCCCCCGTTTGTAATTAGAAATGTGTAAGTACAGACGTTTTACAGGGGTCGACGTCTTTTAACAATGTAACGTAACATTAGTGCACGAAACACGCATTCGGTCGCTCTCAAAGCACCGCCTATTTCATTTTTTTATTTTGGCTACATGCGGCTTATAGCTTCCAAATTATAAGTGAGGAATAATCTATCGACGAGGATTTTGGCATGCGCCAATACTTTAATAAGCGGGTCTTTTCTTTATCAAGAAAACTTACTATCTTAGCGTGTGCATGTGTTTTTAACAATCCACACTGTTTAGATTTGCCGTCAACAGTGAAACCGAATGATGTTATCGGGCCCCGTGAGCCAAGTGCCAGCCTGGCTTTGGTTCTTGGCGTGTGCCTCAACCGTACCGTAAACAAATGAATGACAGTACACGTAACGTTAGCCATTTCAAGCCATTCAAGAATGCTTGACGCAGGTACAGTTCTTCATTTTGCGAATCAGGGAAGGGTCTGCTACGCCTCCGTAAAGAAACGCACGAGCCTGCACAGCTGCTTATTTCGTTAAAGCTTATGCAGCTGATGATGATTAATTAAGTCTCAGCACTTTGTCAGTGGTGGCCATTTAAAACACCCACCCGTTGCACAATCCGGGTGTTTTGATGCTGGGCACAATTCTGCGCCTCCATCCCGCTAAATGACATTTGTTATAGATACTCCTTCCCATCACCGCATGACATTATTATTGTTTTCGTTTGTTTGTTTTTTGAAGCAGTTTTCTCGCAATATCCTGGCCTTGTTCTAGGACAGCTGCCTGCCCCGTTTACGGCTGTGGTTCGATTCTCAGTCGGAACAAAAATGTGTATAATTTGTTTGCATCTTGCTAGACATTTCGCACTCGTACAAGATTACGATTTTTTTTTTTTTTGCTGTCAAACAACGACGCCGATGCCAACTACAGAATTTGTGCGAAACGAGCCCTTTAGCGCAACTGCGTTAAAATCCTTAAAGGCGCTAGCTCTTGATAACTTAAAACGTAGTATTGATAAAGCGCAAGTCTGAACGCCTTACCCAGTGACATTTGTAGCAAGAAACATGTGTATCGTTATTAACCGAAGTCTGTTAGCCAGATTTTTTTGCTTAGTATAAAAATAAGAGGGCATATATCATGGATGCACGTTCCCAAAAGAGCAACCCACTGATGTAAACTAGATGCGCTTTCTGTAGATTTTTTTTTTTCAGCGCACGAACTTTCAATATCACTAAAAAGGCAAGGCTGCTTTCCGAAACGTAAGAAGCTGGACATCGCTTATACTATGAGTGGTGACGCCAGGCGCACATCTCAAACCGGCACAAGTTGATTGGTGTCTGATTTAGCAGCAGGCACAGCTTTCCTGTCCCTCCTTATAAATACTTAATAAACCTCTGCCTTGTCATTCAAAGCAACGGGAATTTTTTTTTAATTTAAGTGTGAACTATTCGCATTTTTAATTTTTTGCCATGCGGGTTCTTTGAATGAATTTACATTGCGCGCAAACGGACCTGGCCACCCGTTTATAGATGGTCTCTTTTTTTCTTTTTTGTTTATTTTTTCTGCTCATACTCGTCAAAGTCTTTGTCATTTATTTCTTTTCCTCATCTTCTTTCCTCTTTCTCCCCTCTAATCTTTCTTTCCTCTGTTTCTTCCCTCCTCCCGAAAGAGTGGGCAGGCGTTGTGCCCCTGCAGGTGGCAGTTGCCAGCTTGCTCTCTCCCTCTTTCCTCTGTGTTCTTGTGTATCTGTGTAGGCAAATCAAATAATAGTAATAATAATTAATAATAATAATAATAATAATAATAATAATAATAATAATAATAATAATAATAATAATACTTTTTATAACAGGCAAACTGTGGCACATCGTTATGCGACTCTATTTCTGTATTGTCAGTAACAAAATCTGACGAAAAAATGCTGCTCCGAAACTACGACGAAGACAAAATGCCTAGCGGCATGGTGCGAAAATTGATAATTTATACTTGAGGCAAAACACGACGCCATTTGACCTTCCTCGTTGAAATTGCATTATCATTTTTGCCCCTGGTCTCTGCATGCGCTAACATAGGAGTTCCTAAAATACGAAGCCGAGAAGAAGATGTACATTTTTGTGCTGCTCTTCTAGTGTTACATCCGCTTTAAAATCTCGTTTGTTTTGTAATATATTGCTTCGTTTACAGCAGTCGTCGCCTTTTTTTTTCGCTCTACTCTCAGAAGAAAGTGCTGCGCCAATCGAGAAAAAATATTAAAGTGAAGTTACAAAATCAAAGTTATTTGCTAGTTCTAAGGAGAAACATTTATTTCGGGTGCTGACTATTACACCTTTGACAAAATTTGGAAATGTCTCTGAAGACGCAGATCAGAAAAGCAAATTTTCCCGATGGGCCCGAGTAATGTTATTTTTTTTTTCTTTCAAGTAACTGTGCAAAGAAAATTTTAGGAGTACCTGTTAGGTTCATTTGTGACCATAAATATATCAATAACTTCAAAGTGCCATTGTTGGTTGTAAGATAGCATTGAGCAGAAGCCCCTGACCGCTTTACACACCATAAATAACCGTAAAGTTTATCGCTTTAAATTCAGTATATCTACTTCAACGCTCGTAGGTGCGGCCGTGTATATGTGCGACCAAGTAGCAAATGATTTGCATAAATTTACAACGTAATTAACTCTGATCTTTTACATTGCGAAACCATGGTATGACTGTGAAGCAAGGCGTAGTTGAAGGCACCGAAAATTTCAACCATGACGTGTTCTTTAACATGCGTTCCCATCGAAGAGTACACGCGCCTCCATCATTTCGCTTCCTCCCAAATGCGCCCACAGCGGCGGGAATCGAACCCACAACTTTCAGGTCAGCAGCGGAGTATCGTAAGCACTGTACTATACCAAGGCCGATCCCTTTCGGGCTTTAGCAGGATACGCATCTTGCCAGGTTGGTCCATCATATCCGTGGAGAGAACAGTGCCTCTCCTTTTTCTTCGGGCCTCCTTCGTATTTTCGAGTGTACGTATAGGTAAGTAGAACAAATATTTATGGAATGGAAATTAATTTCCATTATGTCTGTCTGATTTCTTCATTCTGTCATTTCTGCGCTCTTCTCTTTCAATAAACGTTTGGTTTATCAGGAGAGGATATTATTCCACATATTGCTTGTGTGGCACTTCGCATTTCAGAAGACAAGCATGCGATCCGATGAGCAATAAAAAAGCAACATCAACCTGGCAATGCGTACTTAGTCATACGTTTCAGAAGACGTTTTTACTTAGCAACTTATACCTAACAAACTCTCGGGTTTAAAACTTACCTTTGAGCTAGAATACTGTATTCTGAAAGATTAGTTAGTCGTTATAGGTATTGCCCCAGTCACCATAGCGGTTTATTTGTCATTTCTGTGCCAGGTTTAAATTAAGCGTTCCCGTTTCGTGGATGAGCGTTAACAATGCCTCGCCATATGGCGCGTCCTAATGGTTGTCGCAGTTGTGCTAACGAGTTTCAGTCCTGTGTCTCCAAGGTAGGTGTAGCTGCGAACTTCTAAAAATGTTTTAGTAGAAAGAAGTCCA